ATGTGAAGACAATCAACTTCCGCTACTGCTCGACAGTATGGAAAAAATCAGACAGTTTACAAAATCTTGCTTCACTCATTTCCCCACCAACACGCGACGATCATTCCAAGAATTCTATTATCACAACTTGTATATCTTTCGTAACATACATAGAAAATTTCGGACAATTATATTAAAAAAATGACAAGGTTTAGAATAATATATTTTTGTCGGAAACGCCTGGTGTAATTTTTTATTAACCTTAGTTTGAATCAAGGCCGCTATATGTAAAATAAACTTTTATACAAATAATAAAAAATCAACTTGAATTATTTTTCACTAACTCTCTTTGAATACGTTCGATGGCTTCTTTCAGCAAAAATGTCTTCTTGTTTTTTTAGTGAACGTGTAGCTGAGCGCTTTCAGCTACGACCATCAAATGCGGTCTCGAATTCCTCCGTGGTCGACTTGTTAATGAACTGGTTTCTTGATAATATCAACCTGAGATGATCGCAGGCAGTGGCATGTTTAGGGATTGTCTGGAAAAAATATCACAGGTTAACCCAAGAATTGTGAATTGGTTTCATGAAACTATTCGGAAGCTGTGGATGTTTGTAACTATACGATGAGAAATTCACAAGCCATTATGACCGGCAGTTAGAGTGTAATAGTCTTGTTCAACCACTGGTCAGGTCACGACTAATAGCTCATTCTCAAAAATTCTGAGGTCCACTCAATATAATAGCAGTATAAAACATAGATTGGCAATGTGCTTTTTGAAGAGACACAGATATATCGGAGCATGCATATAGCCAGTTGATTAGGTTATTTGTAGTGGTGTGCAGTAATATTAATCTATTTTCCGGGTGTATGATGAAATTTGTTTGTTCTTGAAAAATATTACATCATCCGTGTTTGCATCAGATTTTTATCACACCCAGACATTATTGTCGCAACTATCGATTAGATGTCCTACGGTCATTTTCTGCAACGGATGTTACTCCAAGGAAGCGTACGAAAACTTCTAACACTGAAGGAATACAATGGCAGGCTTTACCAGTGAGCAAATCAAAGTACTATAGATTGACCCGGTAACTCTCTTGATTTAAATCCAATCGAGAATCTGTGGTCAGTCTGCAAGGAACGACTTCGTGGAATGGACATAAGAAGTACTAACATGGGCACTGGGTCATGTTTCCTTGGAAAAATACGAAAAAAAAAAGTAAATCATAACGGAATTATTCGTTTTGCTTCAATTAATTTGCAAAAGGATGTAATTGCTACTATTTCAATTCATAATAATCTCGATTGAATTAATTTCATTTAGTGAACTTGCTCGTCTTTTATTATCCAATCCGATCAGTTATTATTTAATTCTCAAAAAAAATTCAGTTATCATGATTTGAATTTTCATCCTGTACAATTTTCCATCTTTATCTAATCATGCCAGTTCAATCTTCACAGGCACATTTTGAAACATCAATCACAAAATAACTCTAGTTCTCAAGCAACAACGTCACTTGCAGTTAAATAGAATAGAATAGAACTAATCTGATGCCTGAGGCGTCCAAAAAGTAAATTATCGAGAGAACTGGACAATTTTTAGCAATACCCATTCACCCTTGTGTAAATTAATTGAAACAAAATTCCGTTATTATTTACTTTCTTTTTATTTTGCCATTGCACGTGCTAGTACTTCGTTTGTCCATTCCACGAAGTCATTTTGTCGGGAAAATTGTGAAAATGGCCTACCTCGGAAACGCCCGCGAATCTGTGCGATGTGCAAACTCCGGTTTGCTCAACGGTAAAAGAACCAAAATGGCGACGCCCAAGTTTTATGCCAGGCGGTCTCGGACAGTTAACGCGAAATCTCGTTGTCTCGTCATTCGCATGCAAATCGTGGTCGGTCCTCGGCTGTATAAAGCAGGCGCGTTTTTGTTTCTAATTACTGGGTTTTTTACTCGTGAGAAGGTTGGACGTGTGAAACTGTTTGGTTTTTCCTATATGCTACTATCAGTTGAGTCTTTGCTTTACCACCACAAGCTATTTCGGCAGTAAAGCAACATCCATTGCCGATTAACCACAGATTCACAATTGGATTTAAATCAGGAGAGTTTTTGGGAGGGTCTATAGTACTTTGATTTACTTATTAGTAAGACTTGCCAGTATGTTCGTGCAGCGTTACAAATTTTCCTACGTTTTTATCGAGTAACATCTGTTACAGAGAATGGCCGTTGGACAACTGATCGACAGTCGCGACAATAGTGTCTGGGCGTGATAAAAATCTGATGCAATCACGGATGATGCAATATTTTTCAAGGCCAAAAAAATTTCATCCCACAAACCAAAAATGGATTCATATATCACTGTAAATGACCTAATCCGAGAAAAAATAGAAATCGATTACATCCTGTCACACCATTGGGTATAAAATTGGCCGTATGATGTAAGAAAGAAAACTAAAGCAGCTGTTTCAGTTAAATTGAACAAGGATGTATGTAATCGCGTAAGCTTCAACTCACCAATTCACGTCGAAACTGCCCTGCAGGGATTTATGTGTCAGTGGATACAGTCTGAACAAAATGAAATACGCTGATGAGAGAGTGTCGTTGGCAGACACTGAAAGAAAGATACAGGACCTCTTAGACGAGGTTGTAAAGGAATGCTGTTATAAAAGACTTAATACCAATTGTAACAAAACATAGCGCACTGTTTTTCATCAGGGAGAAAAATCCCAAAACGCGCACTATGAAAAAGGGATTTACAAGTCAAACTTGGAAATGTTTTGACAAAGGATTGAAAATGTTTGGAAATGTTTTGACAAAGGATGGAAAATGTCTTGGAAATGTTTTGACAAAGGAGGGAAAATATCTTGGTAATGTTTTGACAAAGGAGGGAAAAAAATGTTTTGACAAAGGATGGAAATGTATTGAAATGTTTTGACAAAGGAGGGAAAATATCTTGGAAATGTTTTGACAAAGGATGAAAAATGTCTTGGAAATGTTTTGACAAAGGAGGGAAAATGTCTTGGAAATGTTTTGACAAAGGAGGGAAAATGTCTTGGAAATGTTTTGACAAAGGATGGAAAATGTATTGGAAATGTTTTCACAAAGGAGGGAAAATGTCTTGGTAATGTTTTGACAAAGGAGGGAAAATGTCTTGGAAAACAAAGGATGGAAAATGTATTGGAAATGTTTTTTCACAAAGGAGGGAAAATGTCTTTGGTAAGGACAAAGGAGGGAAAAAAATGTCTTGGAAATGTTTTGACAAAGGATGGAAAATGTCTTGGAAATGTTTTGACAAAGGATGGAAAATGTATTGGAAATGTTTTGACAAAGGAGGGAAAATGTCTTGGTAATGTTTTGACAAAGGATGGAAAATGTATTGGAAATGTTTTCACAAAGGAGGGAAAATGTCTTGGAAATGTTTTGACAAAGGATGGAAAATGTATTGGAAATGTTTTGACAAAGGAGGGAAATGTCTTGTAATGTTTTTGACAAAGGATGGAAAATGTATTGGAAATGTTTTTGACAAAGGAGGGAAAATGTCTTGGTAATGTTTTGACAAAGGATGGAAAATGTATTGGAAATGTTTTGACAAAGGAGGGAAAATGTCTTGGTAATGTTTTGACAAAGGATGGAAAATGTCTTGGTAATGTTTTGACAAAGGAGGGAAAATGTCTTGGTAATGTTTTGACAAAGGATGGAAAATGTCTTGGAAATGTTTTGACAAAGGAGGGAAAATGTCTTGGAAATGTTTTGACAAAGGATGGAAAATGTCTTGGTAATGTTTTGACAAAGGATGGAAAATGTCTTGGTAATGTTTTCACAAAGGAGGGAAAATGTCTTGGAAATGTTTTGACAAAGGAGGGAAAATGTGGCACCGAAATCCGAACGAGCATAGAAATAGCAAATGAGTCATCAAAACATAAACAATTCTTAAGAAACAGGACAATTCAGTCAGAAACATCAAAAAGATTGTTATATAAAATCAGTCCTCGAATATGTCAACGAATTCTGGACAATTTTCTCAGTCCAAGTGAAGACTTGAGACAAAACAAATGTGGTTCTACAGAAGAAGGCTGAGAATACCATACACTGAACACATAAGAAACTAGAAAGCTTTACGGAAAATGGAAACACAAATGTCTCTAATACTAGAGAGACACTTGAAAGGCTTGCAGAATTTAATACTTACAAAATATATCGAAAGCAAGAGGGGAAGACGAAAACACCGAGCAGATTAAATAATCTGCTCGGTGTTTTCGTTAAGTGGATGGCAGAACAGTGAGTGCTAGGGATAGTAAAAAAAAAAGACGAGCTGAAGGAGCGTGACACATAGAAGAAGTCGAAGCTACTATCGTGTGGGATCGGAAAATCGCACGATATGATTATAAGATGTCTTTACTAGTAAAGCCAAATTCGAATTCCAGTCGATCCCATTGCCTTCACGTACGTGTTAATACCCTTGAGAAAGGTATGAATCCTCTTCTTCTCTCCCTAGCTATGGGTAAATAGCAGGACAGACCGAGATCTATAGCCTTGGATGGCAACTGGTCTACCGCAGAAAGAAATGGCACATACTGCGGGAAAAATCTGCCTCGTCAGTCACATATCGAAAGATACATGATCACCTAAGTGTGTATCACGTATGGCACATAACTTATTTAATAGTAAAAATAAATAAAGTTTATTAATATATAATTTTCACACAGGCAAGCCGTAGAAACTTTAAATAACTCTTCCAAAAGTTATTCACTATTGAACATATCCCCAGAGTCAAATGCAAAATTAAAAACTTTCTCCTTTTCTCCAGGTAAACCTGAAAGTTTTCTTAATATTAACAACACCAACTTCAGACCGTTTCTTTCTCTTTAAGGGCACTATCGAATTGCCATGGCCTCGTGGAAACTTATGGATAGATGGTGAGGAAAGAAGTCAGATAAATTATCGACCATACCACCTCCACCCTAAGCTTTTCATCTTGCACCCCCACTTCGCACGACCCCATCAAATTAGTGCATGTCTCAGTATCTAGTGCCGTCTCTACACATTTACACACCCGGGCAAGTACTTGGAACACTTCACTTCCAGCCACCACTCGGTACTTCTGGCCTTACTCCCAGCCCATTTCCTGTCCGTTTACCCATTACCAGAGGGAGGTCTGCTTTCTTTTCAAATGCCTGCCAACACGTGGCAATAGTCTGTAGTAGCCTATTATCATCATCATAATCATTATTATTATTATTATTGCGTGTGTTTTCTATTCCATGTTTTTGCTTTATATTGTATCATAAGAGATCATCTTATAAAAGTGCTAAGTCTCCTTTCACCGGATGTTCAACGTCGACAAACGCTCATAATTTAAACTTCACTCTATATTATTTTTCTGTCTGTCTGTCTCTCTCTCTCTGTGTTTATGTATATATATATATATATATATATATATATATATATATATATATGTGTGTGTGTGTGATGACGTTCGCTCGATAATACAATTTCGTTCGTATGGCACAAAAACACTCCACACATACACGCATCTATCTATCTATCTATCTATCTATCTATCTATCTATCTATCTGTATTAGGCTGTTCATACCAATCTGTTCTTACCGTTGTCTTTTTACATCTATCTATCTATCTATCTATCTATCTATCTATCTATCTATCTATCTATCTATCTGTATTAGGCTGTTCATACCAATCAGTTCTTACCGTTGTCTTTTTACATCTATCTATCTATCTATCTATCTATCTATCTATCTATCTATCTATCTTAGCTTGTTCATATCAATCTGTTCATATCATTGTCTTTTCACATCTATCTATCTATCTATCTATCTATCTATCTATCTATCTATCTATCTATCTATCTATGTACCTATCTATCTTAGGCTGATCATATCAATCATTTGACATCTATCTATCTCTGTCACTCTCTCACACACACATACACGCGCACACACACACGTATGTGTGTGATAGATAGATAGATGAGTGTGGGGGAGTGTTTTTGTAGCATACGAAGAAATAAGTACGAACAAAATTATATTATCGAGCGAAGGTCAATGTACACACACACACACACACACACACACACACACACATATATATATATATATATATATTATGTTTGTTTGTGCAGCAATCCCTCTTCTATACAAGTTTCCTTCTTTAACAGACATAGAGTGTGTAAAACCTGTTCAAATTATCTGTAGATCAAATCTTCAGATCTATTCCCCCTTATCAAATATATTTTGTTGTTGTTTCACTAAATATTTACATTTTCTATATGTATATATAGGGAGTAAAATCTATTTTAAATTTTGAGCACGGTCAGAATCTTGTGCCCATGTTCATAATTGATATTATTGAGGGGTCGCTTCTTTTGTTTTTATAATAACGAATCCATCAATTTTATAATGTTTTGCATGTGGATGAGTAAATTCGACCATAATAGACTCATCCAAAAATTAAACTTCACTAAATCCTCTTCGAAGAGTCTCATGTGATTAAAATCACTTGGCGGAAACAATATGGAAGCAAGTTATCATTTAACTTATATACACACAGTTTATTTTATATTTTAAGCTTTAGCCTCAAATTCTCATGTATATATATATATATATATATATATATATATATATATGTGTGTGTGTGTGTGTGTGTGTGTGTGTGTGTGTGTGTGTGTGTGTGTGTGTGTGTAATAGTATCCGAAAGAAAAAGAGAAATCAGGGAATTTTTTATCACACACGCACATCTCTGATATTGAGCACTTTATCCCATAAATATAGCACACCTTAAGACTATATTTCTTCATATATATATAACACTGACATCTCATTTTAACAGATATATTTACTAAAATTACGCAAAAATATCTTCGAATATGAAAGAGTAAATTTATTCAATAAAATCGCCATTGGTTTCATCAACGACCTCCAGATGACATCGGAATTTCCTGCAACTCTTCTGGAAGATCTCCTTGTATAAATTGGATTAAGCTGCCATAATTCTTGCCTTTATTTAATTTTTGTTATTACAAGGAGTTATGTTGGTTTCTTGCTCAGCTACGCCCCACACATAATAATTAAGTGGGTTGCAGTATCGCGAGTTAGGTGACCAAATATAAGGGGGTGACATGGTTGCATAAATTGTCTGACATCCATGATTGGTTTCTCTTGCTTCTGCGGCATGGTGCAGAGTCCTGTTGCCGAACATAGGTTCTTCAAGCAGCCACCCTCTTGAACCAAGAAAACGCTACCTCCTCAAGGCACACGTGTTGAGTCTGAGGTCCTGTGGGAAGAGGAATGGGGTTATAACGTCGCATCACTAGTGATCACTCCAAACACATTTTTAATCCCCATTAGACTCATCTTTTTCCTCTGCACTGTCCTCAGATTGACACTCAACCATTTTGAAATGTTCGTATATGCAGCTTCCGGGACGAATGACTAGCAGTACTACAAGCCATTTCCAAATTTCTAGCTGAGCAAATTGAGTCATGGTGTTGTTTTTTTCATATACGGTACCCAACTGACCCTACAATACTGTGCTGTCGACAAAATAAATTACAAACAACTCGCATTAAAAATATCAAATGGTGATAATTTATCAATCGCATATATATAGCATCGCATCGTAATATATATATATATATATATATATATATATATATACGATGGATATAAATTGTCGCCGATATTTTCAATTCAAGTTTTTTTTTTTATATATATATATATATATATATATATATATATATATATATACTATTACAGACACGTGTACATATATACACACCTACCCAAGCATGTAAATTTAATCCTGCAATAACAAACGGAGAGACACTCCCTAAATCTGGACACTGGAGGTGATGATGCTAAGGTAGTTAATTTGATTCATGATTCTCACATAATCCCAGAGATTCAAAAGCATTTTCCTCACACACAGTTATCCCTTTCTTTCATTTTAACCCGAAGAAGACAAACAGAGCATACGCTCTAAAGCAAAACGCATCATTAAAAAAAATTTCCACTTCATCTTTTATAAGGGAGGAAAAGAAAAGATTAAGAAAAGCAAATTCATGATTTGGACGTGTAGGATAAATCTCGAATGACCCAGGACTTGAAGTGACCAAGAATTTAGTTAGAGACTCATCCCTTTTGAAGTTTGTTCCACAAAGTAACACTTCTGGGAAAAACTGTCTGAATGGAACTCACTCCTTTTGTTTAATAACAAGAAGAGAATGCAGATAATGTGCCAATGTGAACAAAGATATGGCGGGTCCTAGCTGTGAATATCTGAGCATGTAATTTAAGGAATGTAATGTAAGGAATGTAATTTCACCAAAGTTCTGCTATAGTAATATCGATACGGTTACAAGATTCTAGCAATACGTCATCTGTTGGATAAGACCACGTAAGCGTTTTTGAACCCTTTCGAGGCTGGACAGTGTGCAGCACAAGCCCAGATATTTTATTTTAATCATGTCGCCTCAAGAAAGGCGGGAAAGCTACTAGTACGCAGGTGGTTACAGAGAGAGAAAGTGAACAGGGAGGATTGAGCAATGGACAAAAAATAAACGGGATTCAAGACGACTGATGGCGATTGATGTTGCATCTAAATTTTTGAAGATTACAGTTATCGGGTAAGCAAGTAAACGGCAGAGAGTTCAATAGATGGAAAGTGCGAGAAAAGAAACTGTTGGAGTAGAAGTGACGGTTTCATTTAGTTATTTTAACAATAAACTGGTGGGATCTAGATGCCAACCTAGCAGCACTCTTAAATTCATGTAGTCGGCGCACCAAGGCAGTAACATTCAACTCTCTTATAATTCTAGAGTATCGTTACATGAGTTAGGTATTTTGTGGAGCGATTCAAGTCACCAACCATTTACCCAGCATATTTGTACGAATATATGCGTTCCATTTATGTGTCGAGGTTGAGCTTTAGATCCAGTAGGCACTCGAAACAAGGAGCCTCTTTGAGGTTATAAACAATCACCAGGATTATAGCAGACTGAGAATCTGCTAGGTCGAGCTTTGTTTTATAGGTATTGAATGGAACCAGCTAGTGTTTCTCCCATTGAGATCTGAAAGTTAGGTCAGAGGAGAGAACAGCTACTAGATATTGGTCATCCAGATATCTGACGTTTCATGTATACACTGTGTTACCTTCTACATATATAAGAATCTTAGAAGGATCTCATCGTCAATATAATCGCTCAACTGGAGTAGGTCCGAGGTGAGATCCTTGAAAGCCGCCAGCATTTATCACATGTGCCTCACGGGACTGGCCATTAAGAACGACCTTCACAGACTGACCTGACAGGAAAGGCTTGAAAACCGCGCGGACTCGCCCAAGCTGACAAGTTTGTGTAGCAACCACCGATGCCACATCTGGTCAAAGACCTTTGAAATGTCTAGGGCGATGACATTCTGGTGTATTTGATATAAAGTGTTTCGCTGATTGTATGCGTGATAATAGTTAAGACATCAGCAGTGGTCCTAGAAAAACGATAACCGATATTGTTTATCGCCCAGGAGTTTTATTATTATTATTATTGTTGAGGTGTTCAATAACTTTATTCATTTTCTTAGTTAATTCTTTTATCAATATGTTGAAAACTTTTCCTGAAAAGCAAATCGATTGATTCTCCGGCAAAACAACACAGAACTCACATATCTAGATTTATTTTCTTGAGGGGAATTTTTAGCGTGAAAAACCTCGAGCCATTCACTAAATAATAGCTCTCATCATTGCAAAGTTTTGGGGAATTGATATCGAACATTGCGTGCGTGCCACTCGGTGCGTGATCAGCAGCAATTCACATTGATCACTAGGGAGGGTACCTTGAACACTGCCATTAAAGTAGTTCGGTGCAGTTGCTTAACAATTTTCCTCCGAATAAATGGTTAGATAAACATTTCCTTCATTGATTTACATTTTCTTGTACACTGTAATACAAACGGCAACAAAGACTCAATAAAATAATAGAAGAAACTTCGGGGTGCAATCTGTTTCAGTGACAAAAACACGAAAAAAGCGCCATATTTCAATGTTCGATTTTGATGTTTATCCGTCTTATTCAATTGCATTAATTTTTTTATTGCTTCATAAATTTAAATCAACAAAACTATCAAGAGCGTTGACAATTATGAAAATATTACCAATGTATTAATATATTATAAAAAAGCAAAAACAATTAAAAAAATGAATTAGAATATCTGTAAAAGGAAACAAATCAATGCATAACACTCGCGCTAATACACACACACACACACACACACACACACACACACACACATATATATATATATATATATATATATATATATATATATATATATATTTTAACGGAACAAAAACGTATTATGGCATTAAAGGCAAAATTTTTTTACTATACATGCATGATAAATTTTAAAACAAAAAACCACAAACACAAGTCGATCGGTTTCGTCCCCTCTAGTCAGAACTGTAAACAGGGAAACAAGTTATGAGAAGAAAGTCTGTCGCGGATGACGTGAATGAATGGACAGGAGAAAATATAATAATAAAATTATAACACCAGGATATATATATATATATATATATATATATATATATATATATATATATATATATAGGAGAATGTGTGACAAAGAGAGAGAAATCAAAACGCCTCACAAGAATTTTTTTTCAATCTGTCATACATATTTCCCTATATATACAGGTTTCGATGTGTGTATTCGTGCCATTTTATATTTTTAATTTCGCGTATGCACGTTGTTTGTTTTCTATTCTGTCAACTAAACAGTATAGTATGCTCAATTAAGCGCATAAAATATGTATATACATAGACACATACGTACACACACACACATGCATATATATATATATATATATATATATATATATATA